TTGTGCTGTTTAAGTGTCACATTTTAGTGATTTCAATTTCCCGGTCTTTGTTTCCGAGCTCATAGTATTCTTTGACAGAAATGTTGGTATCACAGGGTATGTTACTGTACTGTTACTATTATTATTACTATTATTATTATTATTATTATTATTATTATTATTATTATTATTATTATTATTATTATTATTATTATTATTATTATTATTATTATTATTATTATTATTATTATTATTATTATTATTATTGTTATTGTTGTTATTGTTGTTGATGTTGTTGGTATTATTATTATTATTATTACTACTATTATTACTATTACTATTATTATTATTATTATTATTATTATTATTATTATTATTATTATTATTATTATTATTATTATTATTACAATTATTTGTATGCCGATCGATGCTCCAAGTTCGTAGACCGGAGTGCCCATTGACGTTGGGTGTGCAACTAAACCTGTGCTGAAATGAGATGCTATCGTGTTGTTATTCCCCTAAGCAGGCCTATTAACTTTTAGCTAGATGATGTTTATGTAGTAATTATTATTACTTTCACCTTTGGTGTAATAAAACTCACAATTTTATATATTTTTGTATTTGGTATTGAATTTAACTTCTTTGAAACCTTCTTTTAATTCCATTGGGTGTCGGAAGCACAATGGTACCAATTGAATAGTAAAGCTATAAGTTTCGAGAATTATTAGTAAGTACTTGATATTATCATAGAGGAAATGGAACTGTTCTATTTTCTCTATGATACTATAGGCCTATTATTATGTAAAACGGGTATTGATTTGCGAACACCTTGTATTATACAGAGGGCGGCATGCCATTGCTTTATCGTTACCTAAATAGATTAGAAAAGGGGCAGTCCCGCTCCATTGTTTTTAAAATCAATGTCTCCATATGACTATAATATATTCATTTCTCAATTCCATTTAATAATCCAATATGACATGAAATTATTGTAAAATGCTCGGAGTTAAAGAATGATTTATCTTTATTATCATTATTGTTATATAATAATAATTATTACTATTGTTGGTATAATTATTATTAGGCCTATTATTATTGTTGTTGTTGTCGCTGTTGTTGAGCTTAGAACAAATAGCACAAACCCTAGTTAACAGTTGATTTTTATTATCAATGACAAGCAATTAAACACAAAAAGTTATTATGACGTTCTAGAATAGGTTAGGTATGTCCGAAAATAATAAAGTTATTATAACATTACAGCATCGTTAAAATGTTATTTAGACCAGTCAAATTACGTTACAAGTACCGTATATAGGCTTATATATACGTATATATAGGCTTCTTTATATAGGCCTATATATATATATATATATATATATATATATATATATATATATATATATATATATATATATATATATATATTAGTTGCACTGATGAAGTGTTGAACACAAGACGAAATATTCGTTTAATTAATAGACCAAAAACAAGTTTAGAAATAATTTTTTTTTCGTATACTTTGTAAATTTAACTTGACTTGAATGTCTGTGCTAATTGTCTTTTTTGTTTGTGCTTTTGTAAATTTTAACCTTTTTGTAAGAAATGTTTATATTATTAATACCTTCGCATGTTTTTACTAATGATGATGATGCAATGTTAAATTTATCGTGTTAATAATAAAGCAGAATGAATGAATGAATCTTACATAATTCATGGTGTACGGTATTGTTTGATACTTGTTAATTTTCAGCTTGAAATATAGAATTCAATAGAATATCAATATTCAAAAACAAGAAAACACAATATAAATGTGAATAAACGCAGGTAACCGATACGGTAAATTTGAGAAATTAAAAGACTTTCAAGAGATGTTAAAAAATGTAAAAAAAGGATTGTGTTTCGCCTTATTGCTCGGGCTACCAATCGCATCCTATTCATGAACGCTATCCCGCTACTACTCCACGTGGGAACTTTTGCCTGCTGTGTTTCCACCCTGTGCCAGTACGTTCCTCCTTAGACAACCTGGTTGTCCATGCCTCCACTTGTCCAACCATATCGACGACGAGTTCAGCGTGGACGTCCAATCGCCATAGCATAACGACCAGCAGGAGCCCCGAACTCATGCGATCCGACAACCCCGGCTTCCAAAGTCACTGGATTACAGACGCACGCCACAACGCCCAGCCGACAGAATCTAATGATTTTAGCAAGATATTCATTGAAACTTGAATAGTAGTTAGCAAATTGACGTAATGATGAAGTAAGTATCAAATGTTGAATGAATGAAGTTAATTAATGTTATTTATTGTTTCAACACACGTGGATGAATATAATATGACAATACTGTATATAAAATAGGCCTATATAATATATAGGCCTATATCATATATATAATTATATATGTGTATGTATATATATAGGCCTATATGTATATATTATATATTAGTTGCACTGATGAAGTCTTGAAGACAAGAGGAAATATTTGTTTCATGAATAAAACATTTTCTATCAAACGAATACATTTTCATGAACGTTATATATACAAACAAAAACAATAACAATGAACGTATTCCTTTATAGATAGATAAATGTTTGATACGATTTTATAACATCATGTTCCTATATTTGGTCGCTATTATCTATTTGATTCATATATAAAAATTAATAC